TTTTGCAGATAAAGTCACTCAGATTCAGAGAGGTAGACTCCCCCGTGGGAGCAGGGCGGGGGCTGGTGAGTGCTAGAGTCCTGTCTAGTAAAGTTGTGTGGGATCAATTCCAATCTGTTATGTCCGAGGATGTGGACAGGCTGCTTAGATGAGTGAAACCAACCACCTGTCTCCTTGATCCTTGCCCATCCTGGCTCATAAAATCTAGCCGGGAAGGGCTGGGCGATGGGCTCCGTGGGGTGGTGAATGCTTCTCTCTGTGAGGGAGCCTTCCCAGACACACTGAAAGAGGCAGTTACAGTGGTACCTCAGGTTAAGAACTTAATTCGTTCTGGAGGTCTGTTCTTAATGTGAAACTGTTCTTAACCTGAAGCACAACTTTAGCTAATCGGGCATCCTGCTGCCACTGCACGATTTCTGTTCTCATCCTGAAGCAAAGTTCTTAACCCGAGATAATATTTCTGGGTTAGCGGAGTATGTAACCTGAATCGTATGGCACCGAGGCACCACTGTATTAAACTGCTTCTTAAAAAAATAATAATCTTTAGACCCAGCCAATATGGCCAACTATCGCCCAGTCTCAAATCTTCCATTCTTTGGCAAGGTGAATGAGTGGGTGGTTACTGAACAACTCCAGGGAAGCCTGGAAGATGTGGACCATTTGGATCCCTTCCAGTTGGGATTCAGGCCTCATCATGCGACTGAAACAGACCTGGGCACGCTGGTCAATGATCTCCGCCGGGCTAGGGACAAAGGTGAGAGCTGTTTCCTAGTTCTGCTGGATCTTTCAGAGGCTTTTGACACCATCAGCCATAACATCCTTCTGGACCAACTAGAGGGGCTGGGAGCTAGAGGCACTGTTATACCCTGGGGCGTGTTCAGAAAGTCGTGTTGGGGGTTGAGTGTTCAGACCCCTGAGCTCTCACTTGTGGGGTGCCTCAGGGTTCCGTCCTCTCCCCATGCTTTTCAACATCTATATGAAGCCGCTGGGAGAGAAGAGGGGGTTTGGGCTGGGTGTTCACCAGTATGCGGATACCCAGCTCAACCTCTCTTTCAAATGAGGACCAGTGAAGATGGTGGAAGTCCCGTGTGAGTGTCTGGAGGCGGTTGGAGGATGGATGGCGGCTAACATATTAAAGTTGAATGCTGACAATGTAGATGTCCTGTTTTGGGGGGACAGGAGGCAGGCAGGTGTGGAGGACTCCCTGGTCCTGAATGGGGTAACTGTGCCCCTGAAGGACCAGGTGCGCAGACTGGGTGTCATTTTGGACTCATAGCTGTCCATGGAGGCACAGGTCAATTCTGTTTACCAGCTCCATCTGGTACGCAAGCTGAGACCCTATCTGCCCGCAGACTGTCTTGCCAGAGTAGTGCATGCTCCAGTTATCTCCCGCTTGGACTAATGCAATGCGCTCTATGTGGGGCTACCTTTGAAGGTGATCCGGAAACAACAACTAATCCAGAATGCGGCAGCTAGACTGGTGACGGGAGGAGAGAGCAAAGTTCTCACTGTGAGAAGCAAAGTAACAGGGAACCAGGCAGAGGGACTTCTCGGTAGTGGTGCCCTCCCTGTGGAATACCTTCCCACCATATGTGAAAGGAAAAAACAGCCACCAGACTTTAAAAGACATCTGAAGGCTGTCCTGTTTAGGGAAGCTTTTAATAACTGAAGGACTATTGTATTTCAATATTTTGTTGAAAGCCACCAAGATTGGCGGGGGAAATACAGCCAGATGGACGTGGTACAAATAAAAAATATTATTATTATTATTTAAATTCTTTTCTGTACATCCAGAGACTTGACAATCATCTTCACTTCCCAGGAAATCTGGGAAACCTGAGTGGAAAACTCCATACATTTATATGGTTTCCCGCCTGTGTGAATTATCTTATGAATATTTAGGTCTCCACTCCCTCTGAAGCTTCTTCCACGTTTCATAAATCTAGTTTTCCCTATGTGAGTTCCTAAGGTTCCATATTGACTTAAGCTTCTCCCCTGTGGGAGTTCGCCAGTGTAATGCAAGTTTATCCTCCCTGTTGAAGCTCTTCCCACATTCAATACGTTCCAATGGTTTCTCCCCTGTATGAGTTAGTTGGTGTATTCTAAGTGCTCTACTTTTGCTGCAGCTCCTTCCACATGCCATACATTAAAATGGTTTCTTCCCCATGTGTTAGTCGGTGTCTTATAAGGTGTCGATATGGACTGAAGCTCTTTCCACATTCTTTCCACATTCAGTACATTTAAATGGCTTCTCCCGTGTGAGTTCGTTGATGTTTCCTAAGGTGTCCATTTTGACTGAAGCTCCTTCCACATTCAATACATTTAAATGGTTTCTCCCCTATGTGAGTTTGTTGATGGCTTCTAAGTGTTCCATTTTGACTGAAGCACTTTCCACATTCAGTAAATTTAAATGGTTTCTCCCCCGTGTGAGTTAGTTGATGGCTTCTAAGGTGTCCATTTTGACTGAAGCTCTCCACATTCAATACATTTAAATGGTTCCTCTCCTGTGTGAGTTCGTTGGTGTATTCACAGAGGAGTCCAAGATGGCAACGGAGGTAGCAGCCTAATTAGAGCCTCCGACTTCAACTAAGTGTTTTTATTAGTTTTAGCCTCTTCAAGACCCCAAAACTGCACCTTAAGGACTTTAAAGACTATTGGTTGTCTGGCTTGTCGCCTCGTTTTAATTAGTCTATTCTTTTATTGTTTTATTGTTTTACCGTCGCACTGTTTACTGATACTGCCACACGGATTTACAGCCTTGGAGCTCCCGGACAACGGATTGATTTGAAATACACCCAAAGAAGCAGAGGAAACCGCTGAACTCCATTCAGCCTAACTTCGATAAGTCCAAGAACTCCCCCATGAATACCCTCCCGCCCCAAGTTAAGGCTTAAAGAGGGAAAGGTTGGGAGGCTCCCTGAACCAACAGCCTGGATACCGGTTTTCCAAACTTTGCTCTACCTTTATTTCTACAACAAAGTGCCCAATAAGGGAAGCTTTCAACCTAGAGAATGGTGCTCACAAGACAGAGTTATAAAGAGTTGGGAATCCCCCTCACCAAAGCGGCTGAACCCTCTACAAGAGGAAGGCAGGTGAAAATCTCACAATATTTTAAACCGAAAACAGACAAAATAAATAATGCTGACAAACGACACCCCCACGAATGGTCCATAGACCGCACCAGGTACGGGGAGCTTATGGAAACAGACGAAGAAGGGGTGGGAGTCAATCTGGCAACAGAAATAAAACAAGTTGCCATAGAAGATGAAACCTTAGTGAATCAACCGGGGCTGGAGCAGGAACAAGAGTCACAAGAGGAAAACCCAGTAATTAAGACAGATGAGCCCTCCCAAAGACCCAGGCCCGGGGACAAGATGGGGTTTCTCACTGTGACGAATGAGGACCTGGAGGACACAAGAGCCCACTATCTGGACTTGGAATGCCTCCCCTACATACTAACAGGACTATATAATGATCTGTTAAATGAACAGAAGTTGCAGATAGGCAGAGAACTGGGACACATCAAAGACTTCCTCTCAGAATGCTTGGGCCTACTTACCACCCTGACTGAAATAACTAGGAGAATAGACAACTTGCATTCATACAAAGTTCTCTCTAGTACACCAAACAATAACAACATCAAGGACAATAAAACCTGACATGATGTGGAAAAAAGGAAAACATTTAGGATTAAAGCAAACCAGAAGGGAAATTTAATTGACCCTAAGAAACCCCTCTTAAAGAGGAAGTGTCCCAGGAATAAAGAGAAGAAGCCCAAGAACGTAAAAATGGGAAGGAAGACAAAGCCCCCATCTCGAACAAAGAAAGTGAACTTCACAAGACTATTTAAGCCATTAGAGAATTCAAATCCAACGAGCCCAGCTAACCCAGTTCTGCCACCCCTTGATAAAAGCCCAAGCCCAAGCCCAAATAAAAACCTCCATAAGGCTGTGCTATTCAATCCAACAGAGGAACTCCATAAGGCTAGGCTTCATAATTCAACAGAGCAACTAGCGCTCCCGAATGGAACCGCAGGAAAATCAAGGGAAAACCCGATCCCTAAGCAAGCAACTATTCCTAAAACAACATACTCTAGCAGAAATCTAATTCTAAATAAACAAAAACTCATCATCCTACCTGTACACATGCACAAAGATCTCCTTTCCCCAGCACAACAGAGAATCTATATTCTCAAGAAAACTGAATTAGCCGTTAGAGGGCTCGTCCCAGCAGAAAACATCATTAATGTTAAATTTCTGCCATCAGATAAGGACCTAAACAGAGTTGTGATAACATTCAGAGACTGGCACACAACCAAACTAGTCTCAGACAATAAGGACAAGCTACAAAGGGTTGGATTGCAGGTGACTCGGCTATTCGAAGTGTCCGGTACTCCCACCCCTCTCATCGAAACAATCAAGACTGATAAGATAAAAATAAAGCCGACAATGTCTATGATGGACGAGAACTTCAAGATGCTTCAATTAGAGGCAGATAAAGCCTCGAACCAGCTGGCTAAAAGACCTAAAACCCTATCCCCAAATCACGTACCAGACGAAAGCTCCAGCATAGAGAAGGAAAACCGCTTCATAGCAACTATTGAACAAATACATAAAGCTCAGGACGTACTAATTGAAAGACTATTATCCATAAGGAAATCTATTACCCTCCTAGCCACACCGGTCACCAGGGAATTTAACTATGCAACTTATACCACAAAACCTTTATCCAACAGTGAGTGGATACTAAGGCTATTCCTATTGCCTGACGAACTGGGACCTACGGAACCACCTATAACAAAGAAAACAATATTCCCCAGTTCTGCTCCCAGTTTTATACAGTCTGTATATGATGCTTGTTTGACAATGTGTGGTGTTTTATGCCTAATAAAGGATTAGAATTGAATTGAATGGTTTCTCCCCCGTGTGAGTTTGTTGATGTTTTCTTAGTGCTCCACTTTCACTGAAGCTCTGTCCACATTCAATACATTTCAATGGTTTCTCCCCTGTGTGAGTTCGTTGGTGTCTTCTAAGGTGTCCACTTTCACTGAAGCTCTTTCCACATTCAATACATTTAAATGGTTTCTCGCCCGTGTGAGTTCATTGGTGTATTCTAAGTGTTCCATTTTGACTGAAGCACTTTCCACATTAAATACATTTAAATGGTTTCTCCCCGTGTGAATTTTTTGGTGTTTTCTAAGGTTTCCACTTTCACTGAAGCTCTTTCCACATTCAATACATTTAAATTGTTTCTCCCCTGTGTGAGTTCGTTGGTGCATTCCAAGTGTTCCATATAGACTGAAGCACTTTCCACATTCAGTACATTTAAATGGTTTCTCCCCCGTGTGAGTTAGTTGATGGCTTCTAAGGTTTCCATTTCGACTGAAGCTCTTTCCACATTCAATACATTTAAATGGTTTCTCCCCTGTGTGACTTTGTTGGTGTATTCTAAGGTTTCCATATCGACTGAAGCTATTTCCACATTCAATACATTTAAATGGTTTTCCCCGCGTGTGAGTTCGTTGGTGCATTCTAAGGTTTCCATATCGACTGAAGCTATTTCCACATTCAGTACATTTAAATGGTTTCTCCCCCGTGTGAGTTAGTTGATGGCTTCTAAGGTGTCCATTTTGACTGAAGCTCTTTCCACATTCAATACATTTAAATGGTTTCTCTCCTGTGTGAGTTCGTTGGTGTATTCGAAGGTGTCCATATTGACTGAAGCTCTTTCCACATTCAATACATTTAAATGGTGTCTCCCCTGTGTGAGTTTGTTGGTGTATTCTAAGTGTTCCATTTCGACTGAAGCTCTTTCCACATTCAATACATTCAAATGGTTTCTGCCCCGTGTGAGTTCGTTGGTGTCTTCTAAGGTTTCCACTTTCACTGAAGCTCTTCCCGCATTCAGTACATTCAAATGGTTTCTCCCCCGTGTGAGTTCGGTGGTGTACTCTAAGGTCTCCACTTTCACTGAAGCTCTTTCCACATTCAGTACATTTAAATGGTTTCTCCCCCGTGTGAGTTAGTTGATGGCTTCTAAGGTGTCCATTGTGACTGAAGCTCTTTCCACATTCAATACATTTAAATGGTTTCTCCCCCGTGTGAATTCGTTGGTGTATTCTAAGGTGTTCACTTCTACTGAAGCTCTTTCCACATTCAATACATTTAAATGGTTTCTCCCCTGTGTGAGTTTGTTGATGTTTTCTTAGTGCTCCACTTTCACTGAAGCTCTTTCCACATTCAATACATTTAAATGGTTTCTCCCCTGTGTGAGTTCGTTGGTGCATTCTAAGTGTTCCATATCGACTGAAGCACTTTCCACATTCAATACATTTAAATGGTTTCTCCCCCGTGTGAGTTCGTTGGTGTATTCTAAGTGTTCCATATCGACTGAAGCACTTTCCACATTGAATACATTCAAATGGTTTCTCCCCCGTGTGAGTTCGTTGATGATTTCTAAGGTTTCCAATTACACTGAAGCGCTTTCCACATTGAATACATTCAAATGGTTTCTCCCCCGTGTGAGTTCGTTGGTGTATTCTAAGGTGTTCACTTCTACTGAAGCTCTTTCCACATTCTATACATTTAAATGGTTTCTCCCCCGTGTGAGTTCGTTGATGTTTTCTTAGTGCTCTACTTTCACTGAAGCTCTTTCCACATTCAATACATTTAAATGGTTTCTCCCCCGTGTGAGTTCGTTGGTGTATTCTAAGCTTTCCATTTCGACTGAAGCACTTTGCACATTCAGTACATTCAAATGGTTTATCCACTGTGTGAGTTCCTTGATGTTTCTTTCGATAATCAGTACATTTAAATGGTTTCTCCTCTATGTGAATTCGTTGATGTGTCCTCAGTCTTCCACTGTGACTAAAACACATCCCACATTCCATGCATTTAAACTGTTTCTTTGTTCTTCCCAATGAATTCACAGATGGCTCCATAGAATTCTGGCCATCATCTTCCTCACCTGTTTAGGAGGGGGGAGGGGGAAGAGAATCCTGTTAAGACTTACAATAAAGACAAGAAAGGAACTGAACACATGTCAGTCCCAGTATGCCCCTTCTCTTATTTTAACACTGTCTCCTTTCTCCACTGTCCTTTCTTATGTTCCAAACTTGCGTGACGGAGATCTGGGTACGGGAAGGCGAAGTAGTCTCCCTACATGAGATAACACCCCCAGGTTTCTCTGTCCTCCATCAATCGCGGACTGTGGGTCGGGGGGGAAGAGTAGCGTTGTTATTCCGGGAGGATTGCTCTTTCAGAGCTCTGCCATCACCAGCGATCTCCGGCATTGAATGTATTGGTCTCGTGTGGGGCACCAAGGAGAGCTTGGCTGTCTGGCTGGTATACCGACCACCCAGCACACCTGCAGCCACCCTGTCAGATCTGCTGGAGGTGGTGGCGGGCTGGGCCTTGGAGTTCCCAAACCTACTGGTTTTGGGAGACTTCAACGTCCATGCCGATGCCGCTCCCTCCTCAAAGGCTCTGGACCTAGTGACTTCCATGGCAACACTAGGGCTCTCCCAGTTTGTTTTGGGCCCCACTCATCAAGCAGGCCACACGCTGGATCTGATCTTTGGGGCTGGCATAGATGTGATCATGCTCCCCGCTGTGGAAGTGCCATGGTCTGATCACTATGCTTTGAAAGCCAAGATTGACTTACCGCTCCTCCCCGGCTCGGGTGGCGAACCTATTTGGGCTTGTCCGCGAAAACTGATGGATCCTGATAGATTCCAACAAGCCTTGCGGAACCCTGCTCCTCCTGGCGACTCATTATATGACCTTGTTGAGGACTGGAATAACCGGCTCTTGGCAGCCATTGATGAGATCGCGCCTAAGCGCCCTCTGCGACCCCGTCGAAACCGGGTCCCTTGGTTTACTGAGGAGCTCCGGAAAATGAAGCGGGATCTCAGACGGCTAGAGCGAGTATGGCGACGGACTCGTGACGGAGCCTCAAGAACATCTTATAGGACGCTTATGAAAGCCTATGAGATGGCTATAAAAGCTGCTAATAAATCTGACTTTGCAGCTTCCATTGCATCCGCTAGCTCTCGCCCGGCACAACTTTTTAGAATAATTAGGTCAATAACGTCCTTAGGAGGACAACCAAATTTAAGCACAAATTCGACCCACAGCTGTGAGGCATTCGCGAGCTTTTTTGTGGAGAAAGTCCTGTTGCTCCGCCGTGACCTCCCTGCCAATTTAGATACAGTGACTGAACTAGAGGCCCCTCGACTGACTTCAGGTCCAGTGTTGGACCATTTCGATCGGATACTACCTACTGATGTGGATAGATTCCTTCTAGTTGGTAGGCCCACCACCTGCCTCCTTGATCCGTGCCCGTCTTGGCTGATTAGGGAGTGTCCAGATGTTGCGTGGACCCCCCTGGTTGAAATTATCAATTTGTCCCTTGACACGGGGACATTCCCAGGGGAACTGATTCCTTAGACCTATGTAATTACCGCCCAGTTTCAAATCTTCCATACCTGGGTAAGGTAATTGAGAGAGCGGTTGCTGAACAGCTTGGTAGGTTTCTGGAGGAAACATCGGCATTAGATCCATTTCAGTCCGGTTTCCGTCCTGGTTTTGGGACGGAGACGGCTCTGGTTGCCCTAACAGATGATATCCGTAGACAACTGGATCGAGGCGGGTCAGGACAGCTGAGCCTTTTAGATTTGTCAGCAGCCTTTGACATGGTCGATCATGATCTTCTGGACCATCACCTCGCAGACGTGGGGATACAGGGCATAGCCCGTAACTGGTTGTGCTCTTTTATCTCTGGTCGGGGACAGAGGGAGGCAATAGGGAGGGAAATGTCATCGCGCCACTCCATGGTGTGTGGAGTGACGCAGGGCGCAATTCTCTCCCCGATGCTTTTTAACATCTTTATGCGCCCCCTTGCCCAGATTATCCAGAGCTTTGGGCTGGGCTGTCATCAATATGCTGATGACACTCAGCTCTATCTGCTGATGGATGGCCACACCGACTCGGCCCCGAACACACTGACCAGATGCTTGGAAGCTGTGGCTGGATGGTTTCGTGGAAGCCGATTGAAACTAAATCCTTCGAAGACAGAGGTCCTATGGCTGGGTCGGGATGGCATGGGGATGAGGGACCAACTCCCTTCTCTTGTGGGGGCCCAATTAGTGCCATTGCCTTCCGTTAAGAGTTTGGGTATAATCCTTGACGCCCTTCCATGGAGGCGCAGGTTACAGCAACAGCCAAGGCGACATTTTTCCACCTTCGCCACATCAAGCAGTTGGTCCCTGACCTTTCCCACCCTGACCTGGCCACAGTGATCCATGCGACGGTCATCTCCAGGCTTGACTACTGTAATTCCAGCTTTACGCGGGGCTGCCCTTGAAACTGTCCCAGAAACTCCAGCGGGTACAGAATGCTGCAGCGAGGCTCCTCACGGGGTCTTTGCCATGGGAGCATATTCACCCAGTGCTTTTCAAGCTGCACTGGCTCCCGGTGGAGTACAGGGTCAGATTTAAGGTGCTGCTTTTGACCTTTAAAGCCCTTCACGGCCTAGGACCCTCGTACCTACGGGACCGCCTCTCCTGGTATACCCCACGGAGAGCCTCAAGGTCCATAAATAACAACACCCTAGTGGTCCCAGGCCCTAAGGAAGTTAGATTGGGCCTTTTCAACTCTGGCTCCGGCCTGGCTCTGCCTCATGAGACCTGGGCCCTGCAGGATCTGATTTCTTTCCGCAGGGCCTGTAAGACAGAGTTGTTCCGCCTGGCCTTTGGCTTGGAGACAATTTGATTCCCTCCCTCCCTCTCTTTCTTTTTTCTTTTCCTTCTCCTCCTGCAATGAGGCTACATTTTAATATTTTAATGTTCCATTATTTTAATGTTGTATTTTATTTTTGTTTTTAAGTTGTAATCATTCATCGTTTTTATTATTGCTTGTAAGCCGCTCTGAGCCCAGCCTTGGCTGGGGAGGGCGGGGTATAAATAAAAAAAAATTATTATTATTATTACTATTATTATTATTATTATTATTATTACCACTTGGTAGGCTTGACGTTGAGCTCTAACCTGTGTCCAGTCAGATTCGGAATGAGTTATTCACCACCGGCGCTCTAGCCGTCTCAATGATTGTTTCATTGCCCTCAGATCCGTGGAAAACCACGGGGCTGCCCGGGCTCCATGCAATCGGAGAGGGCGCTTCGGAGCCAAACAGTCAATAGCCCTGGTTAACTCCACATTCCAGCGGGCCACCAGGGAATTGGCTGAAAGGCCATCAACATGGGATAAAGCATCCCCTACCACTCTCTGGAAACCATTTGGATCCATTAAGTGGCAGGGGCGGACCATCCAAATTGGTCCCACCTCCCTGCAGGAAATGTAAAGAAGAAGTGGGTACCTTTTGCTATATGTGGTGGTCATGTAAGATAACAGTATCATTTGGGTAAATGGTATAAATGAATTTTAAAAAAATGTTTAAATAAATTAAGAACCTAGAAGCTTATTTATTTGGAATTACAGGTACTGAGATCCCAAAAGACCAGGAAAGACTATGTATGCGACAACAGCTGCACAGATGTTATTATCCCAACGATGGAAAGATGCAATAATCCCAACTAAGGAAGATTGGCAAGCCAAACTGCTGGACTCTGCCGAAATGGCAAAATTAGCCGCAAGACTCAGGAATCAAGAAAACAAGGGACTTTAAAAAAGATTTGAGAAATTTTATAATTTACTTATGAGATTATTGCACGCAAATGAAAACGTTAGCTGGACTTTAGGAATCACTTGTAAAGAAGTTTATGGACAATTTAGATAAATGAAAACTGTGGAGAATGTATCTATACAGTGGTAACTCGTGTTACGTAACCCTCTGGAACTTTTACGGGTTTCGCCGCTCGCACGCGTAGAAGCACTCTATTGTTCTGTGTGCGTGTGCAGAAGCAGTCCTCCGGTTTGCTAAAACCTAGGGATCCGTCTGGAGCTCTGGAACAGATCCTGTTTGCAACCGGAGGCACCACTGTATGTAGTTTTGGAAAAATTAATATAAGGACCCATTAAAGGGATGGAGCGAAGTCATGTGATTCAGAGAATCTCATGAAATGATTATATAAATGTCTTTGATATAAACTTGTATTTGTAAAAACCAATAAAAATATTTCAAAAAAAGAGGGAAGTCCATAGATTGACTATGCTTCTGTTGATTCATCATTTGCAAACCCAGAAATAGGGGTTCCTGTTTTTGAAGTTTGCCCCGGAAACCAAACGTGCTCCTGAGCTTCCATTTTTACTGTTGCGCAGCATATTTAAGTGCCCCCCACCCTAATTAATGCTTTTTTTCATTCCGTTTTACCCTTGAGCAGCTAATTTAAGTCGTCTCCATCGTAATCAAGGTTTTTTTCATACCATTTGTTCCATTACACAGTTAATTTAAGCCCCCCCCCCATCAATATTAAAGCTGTTTCTGGTTGCAGTGTTCTGAGGTGACATTTGGTGCGTTAGTTGTTTCCTATTTTTGCGTTTTTGTTTTTGTGGCTTTTTCATTTTTGACTGAAGCTTGTTTTTTGTTTTATGATTGATTTATTGATTGATTGCTTGACTGTGGAAAGGGATAAAAGCTCCCCATTCAAATAATGACTATCATCAATGTAGGTACGAAAGAAAATAATTTTTAATTTTTATCATCTACAATACTGTCTTATTTATTTTATGGTACAGAACATTGATTATTGCTTTCATTTTATGGATCAATGGTCTTGTTAGATAGTAAAATTCATGTTAAATTGCTGTTTTAGGGGTTGTTTTTAAAAGTCTGGAATGGATTAATCCATTTTGCATTACTTTCTACGGGACAGCATGCCTTGGTTTTGGAACGCTTTGGTTTTGGAAGACTTCTGGAACCGATTGAGACCCGAGGTACCACTGGAACTCCTAAGATTTAAAATCCTGGAGCGGAGAAAATCTGCCCCCACTACTTGATGAAAGGGATTCAAGAAACAGAGAGCTGCTTTGGAGAAGGCCTCACCCCTTCCTTCTTCCTGTCAGGAACTTCCTTCCATTTGTCTCCTCTCCATCTTTTCCTCTTTCTCCCTCCGCCATCCATCTATCCCTGTCCCCATCTCCTCTCCCCTGGAACTCACCAGATTTCTCCAAGGGTCCTGGGAGGGAATGCTCAGAGGTTGTGGGGAGGGATGCGGGAGACAGCCTGACCAGGTCAGTCGTCCATCTTCCTCCTTCCATCCTGGCCAGGGTTGCAGGTTCAGTCTCAGCTAGGTTTGCAGGTTCAGCTTCCTGAGGAGCGCAGAATCCAGAGCAAGTTGCAGCTTCCTGGGAGGGAGGGAAGAAGAAGAAGCCAAGGGAGTCTGAGAGCCCTTGCAGGGATTCTCCTGCCCAAGACATTCTGCTGCCCCTGGAGAAGCCCCAACTGGGCACCCCTTCCCAAGAGCCCCCACCCATTTTCAAACACCTTTGGCAATTCCTTTCATCACCTCCTTTCCTTTTTTATTTTATTTTATTTTGTTTATTCAATCTTTATTGGTTTCAAATCAACACACACACACACACACCAAAAGAAACAAAACAAAAAAGCACAATACATTTCTTACAAAAAGAAATAGAACAATACAGTGGTACCCCGCAAGACGAATGCCTCGCAAGACGGAAAACCCGCAAGACGAAAGGGTTTTCTGTTTTGGAGGCGCTTCGCAAGACGAATTTCCCTATGGGCTTGCATCGCAAGACGAAAGCCCATAGGGAAATGCTGGCGGTCGGGAGCAAAGACTTTCGCCCACAGCCGGCCTTCAGAAGAGGACCTCTTCTGAAGGCCGGCGGGGGGCAAAAGTCTTTGCTCCCCCCCGCCTGCCTTCCCCCCGCCTGCCCGGGGCGATCTTAAAATGCTGGCGGCTGGG